ATACATACATGCATAGACATATACATACATACATGCATAGACATATACATACATACATGCATAGACATATACATACATACATGCATAGACATATACATACATACATAGACATAGACATACATACATAGACATAGACATATATACATAGACATAGACATACATACATAGACATAGATACATACATAGACATAGACATACATATAGACAGACATACATGCATACATAGACATAGACATAGACATACATATACATGCATACATAGACATACACATACACATACACATATATAAATACATACATAAATATATACATACAATTAAGTATATTTTCTTTTTCTGTTTTGATGCTTATGATTGTTTCTATTTCAGTTCAAAACACAAATCCTCCAAACATGACAGGTAAATGTAGAGAAAGATTTGTTTTTTAGAATTGTAGTTCATGAACTTGTCTTTTATTATCATCTTAAACAGTATGAATACATTATAGGAGTTTAGGATAAGTTTTAGTATTAAAGAAAAGCTATAGCATCTTTTGTTGTTGATTTTTTGTTTATGATATGGAGTAATCCCTGGTAAATGAATGACGCATTTTTGCTTTCCCGCTGATTCAGCAAACACCATAAGTCCCACAAGAGTCCGCACAAGTCCCCGCACAAGTCTTCACACAAGTCCCCGAGCAAGGACAAGAGTAGACACCATTCCAGCAGCAGTAGTAAGCATTCTGACAAGAAGAGGTCACGTTCTGACTCGGGAGACAGACACCGCGACAGTAAGAAGAGCAGGTACGTTTTGTTGTTGGTGTTACTGTTCAGAATGAATGCCTGGCAATCTCCTGTGCACAGATGTGTATACACACCTGCCATGACAAGGTATTTGGGTGTTATTGGTCAAGCACTGTTCACTCTGGTTCATACTGAGAGTGGTAGTTTTTGAGTCCTTTTCAGGAACGGTATTTTTCTTAGATTACTTAAGTTCCTATGTTGCATTCACTAACATCACTATAAAGATGTTTTAAAGAATTACTTTGTTTTCGGCTTTGACTAGGTCATTTTTGACCTAGCAAAATGAGCAACTATTGGAGACTAGAGAACTAATATATTTTCTCCAACTCTTTCAGGAAATAAATCCAGATACTGGACTTTCGCAGTTCCTGGTTAAAACAGTGAAGGCTGACATGGTGGATCTTGCATCTCTGGTGGAGTGATGGTTTCTGATTTCTTGATGTTTTAAATCAAGATGTTTCCTCTGAGTATGTGCAAAGCTCTAGGCATAATTTCAAGGTCTGATGGCATGCAGGGGAACCAATCATTCACTTGCATCATAGTCTTATGTATTCTTGTAGCCCATGATATTTTAGATAATTTTGTGTAAGTGCTTGGTGCTCTTACCAATTAGATATTCTTAAGGAGGTTCGAATGCCCCAGTTCTTAGCAGTGGTCGGTTAGAGGATGGTCTCTCACATAGTTAGGATGACTGAGGAGCGTACAAGATGTTTGATGTAGAGTCTGGAGTATGCTGATCTAAAATTACAAACTGTCAGGGTCTCCAACGGGTGTCTGGTTAGGTAAATTAAGTGATGTTGTGTGAGTATTTTGCTTTCAGAAGAAAGAAAAGGAGGATAAATGTTGTACACTTGTAATTATATTCAGTTGAAAATGTAGTGCACACAGTATTCTGTTTCAAACTTCCACTTATACTGTGCATATCAATTTTAGGAGATTGAAGACGTTTCTGTTTAGATGTTAGTCTGGTTTCATGGATACACACTATTAATTTTGCAACATCTAGAAGTCAAGATCTTATGTTCCTGTGATGTGAAAGGCACACAGTAGAGAAATGGTCTGCACACAATTACAAGGTAATTGTTTTAATTATTTTTGTACCATAGGAAAAGAATAGTTAACAGATGTTTTGTTCTATATTCATGTTTTAACGTTTTTAATGTAGATTGGCATAGCAATGCCACCTCACTCCAAGAGTTGGATATGGGAAAATAACTTGACCTATAAAAGAATTGCTAAGTTTTAATTGTGGGTTCCAGATTCAGTTTCTCATAAGAAATATTTAAATTTTACTTTTTCATTTGATTATAGGTTGGTCTGTTTTGTTATATTAGAGGAATAATAGGAAACTTAAATATTCTTAGCAAGAGCATTGTATGTGTTACAAATAATCACTATTTAAAGGAGTGGGGAGTCACTGTAAATTCCTGTAAGGCAAGTTATATTTCCAGGCATGTAAACTGGTATGAACAAAGGTTTAATGTATTGCATTTTATATTCTCTCCCAGTGGAAAGTAAACAAATATTTCTTAAATGTTATTCATTTAAACCTTTTACATGATATAGGTGATCCAATCTGAAATTACTGAAATATGTGAATTAACTTAAACATTTGGCCAAATTTTATTATTCTCATTATTACTATTACTATTATCATTATTATTATTACTATTACTTGTGTCTCTCTTGCATATTTCATTTCCTCCTCACAATCCTCTTTCAAATTTATTTCATTCCATTCAATTACAGTTTTGCTACATTCTCTCAATTTTTGTCACACTTCGCTGAATAGGTGAGACTAGGTTACATGATATGTTTTGAACATGTGCATTTGTGGAATTGAAGTAAATAACTGGAATGCTTTCTCCTGTAACTTAAATTTTAAATAAAATGAGCTGGTGCAACATCCAAGTCAGAGAATTGACAAGCCCAATAGATTAAAATTTCAGATGCTTGTATTTCGCTTATGATAAGCTCAGAGCTTCATTTGTATCTACTTTTGTAAATCCAAGTTTCTCTGAAGGTTTAAGTTACTATTTTAATTCATGTGGACATGAACAAGTTAACTTGAAAGTGGATGAATGCTTATATGCTCTACAGTACATGACATCACTGAAGGGAAATATATGTCTGGGACTTTTAAGGACAAAAAGACTCATTTATATCATTGGGTAGTACAAAGCTGGTACAAATATTTTGTCCAACAGTCACTGGGGTAACTTTGCCAGGCAACTCTGTGGCCAGACTGTTCACACAGCTGATTGAAATTACCAAACTCTATTCAGTAGTTGAGATGTGTCAAACATGAAGTTTTCTGCACCTTTCCTTTACTCTTTTTTTTCTTTCTTTTTCATCTTCTATATTAACCCCAAGCCACCGGACATGGCATGTACGTACGTGCCATTGCCCATTGTGTGTCTTGAATTCAGTAATTGCTTTTACATATAAATGGCTCCACAAGTACTAGGTCACCAATGAGCCAATTATGTAAACTACCTGTCTCACCTGTTTACCCTTTTCCTTGATTTTCGATATTTTCTAATATTTAATACTGCTGTTAGTTTTGTCAGTAACAGTATAGTAATTATAATGTGTATAACAAAAATAAGTGTCAATATTGATAGCATTAGTAAAAAAAAAAAAAAAAAAAAAAAAAAGCGTTTTCCCGCTTTTTCAGGGAAAAGTGAGGTCGCAAGATCTTTTGTGGCTAAGTATTGGCAGAGCCATCTATGTGCAGAAACATTTAACCAAGCATTGCCAAAGGGAACGCACTATTTTCCTGTTGCCATTGGGTTAAGGCCTATTCTCATGAGTTGCCATGATCAGAGGGCCCCTGCAAAGGTGAAGTCACAGAGGAGAAAACAATGGGGAAACTACTTGTTTACAGAGTATTTTGCCCATCAGTTACATCATTTCTACTAATGCCTACCTTTGTCTGCTGATCATGCTTATGTAGACAGGCCCTTATACAGTGATATTGCACTTTGGGCTACTGACTGGCCACTAGCCATTGTTAGTGCCCTACTTGTCAATGTTGACATCACAAATATGTCTTAAGACTTTTTTCTTAGCGAGGGCCCTGACTTTGTGCCATTGGGCTGTGGTCAGTGGTCAGGATGAACAAGTCGGTTACTAAACACCATGCAGCTACAAGTAATCCTACAATATAGCAATAAAGTAAATTGTCTGTTTTGAAAAATCAGTAGATAAAGACTGGTGGTTTGATGCTGGCTGTGAAATGAAAAGGAATTAAATTAAATGTTATAGGGCCTCCCAGCACTTCTTTTACTTAACCATGCATTAAGTTTTCTGTTCTATTGCTTATTTACAAACAATAATATTTGTGAAAGGCTTTTTTTCTGTCTTTTTCCAATTAATATACTTGGACCCTTGTGGACAGTATCGGTATAACTTTTGCAGATTAAGAGCATTGCCTGATATTGTAGACGGGCCTAATAATGTAATGTACATATTATCCTATGAAGTACAAAATGTATTAACCCTCAGTATAAATGACAATAAATAGCACTTTGCTGGTCATTGGTCAAAATGCATCTACTTGTGCATGTTTGTATTACTTTTAGGAATAAGATGAGAGTTGTTAGCAATGGAAAACATTTCCAAAATAATGTTTCCATGTGATGAATAACAACACCGCCCAAAGCTTCAGAATTCAGTTGATGAAAGGATAGCAGATGCAGTATGTTGTATGGAAACCTGCAAGCTCGTATTATCTGCAAATAGTCTTTAGGTAGGCATATATATTTAAAACACTTCAAAACTTTTATCAGAACTGGAATTAATTTTGACAATGATTATATGAAGAACTAGTACGAAATATATTTATATAATGAAAATAAAAATGCTATACTTTGATGTAACATACAGAAAAATAAACTGCGATCAGTGGATGTATTTTCTCTTATCATTACCTAAGTAGGTTGGTAATTGTCTGTTACCTGTATTCTTGCATACATCTGTAAGATGAGCAAGCTGACTTTCAAGAAATTCCTTGAACTGATGTCAAAATATATTGAAATCACTAAGCCATTCTGTACCCTTCTGAATCTCATATTGACAATTTGACTTTATATTTTGTTTGCAAACAGTAATTGATGTATTCTGTAATTCGAGAAATATGTATGGTTTCAGACTTGCATTATATTCTAATTAAAAGTATACAGTTTATTAAAGGAGAATAAATACAAAAACATTTGTTTAGTTCTTTAATTATTACTTCATATATGAACATAAACCTTTTTAAATTTGCAATGAAAAAATGAAAACAAATTTCTAAATTGTTTCAGATATATTACAGAGTATAAAATAATATTCTTAAAAATCAGAATAACAGGATTACAATTCATTTCATATTGTAATTATATACAATTACTGTTTTGCTTTAGTGTCTCCTCTTAGTATCAGAAGAACTTCACCTCAGATCATGTAATTATTTTTCTTTTCTAGGAAAAGTGTCCAATGCTTCTTGGACGATACAATTATCTTACGAAGACTTGACAACCAAAGGATTTGACACCCGGAATATATTGGGTAACATGGCTGCCAAATGCTGGAACAGGTCTTCAGATATTCCCTGAAATGAAGAAAAGGTGGATTTAGAGAAATCTTTAAGAAACACAGACCCATGTACTGTATATTCAAGAGAATGAGATTAGAGAGCTGGCTGTTCAGCACAGTCTGTAGAAGTGATATCAATCTGAAAAATCAATGTTCTGATAGTTTCATAATGTCAAATTGCTATATTTTGATTTTTCTTTTTTCTTAAGTTATAAGTTAACAAAATACAAACAGCTCTTTACCATATGTCTTTTTTAAACAGGTTCTTTTTTATTGGTTTCCTTTCTACCTCTTAAATTTATTGCATAGCAAATTTAACTATGGCACTAAAAGTGGGAAAAAAAAAAAAAAAATGCTCTGAATCCATGATTGTCCTACTTAACAGTAATGTATAATGTACTCTATAACATTTTCTCAGAATCCCAGTTTTGTACTCTTGATCATCTGTCACTAGCCTGCAGTCACATTTACTAGCATCAGGTCTCTCAAGTGCTTAAGGACACATCTTGAGAACAATTAACATCAGTCCTGCTGTAACCAGCACTAAAAAGATTTTTTTCAGATCTGACAGTTAATTCTTTAGAGAAGTTAAGTAACCCACTTATGATGGGTGTCCCACATATGAAATACCCGGAAAAGGAAACATTGCTGGGCGTCCTGCCGGTGCAATGCCAGATTGGAGCTCGCGCTCTGATTTTGTCAACCGTGGTGGCCAGCATGCAGGCAAGTTGCCGGACTCACCCGCACCAATTTTTAGCCTGACCAGAAAATATTATTTTCGGCTTATAAATGTACCGTCGCTAGTGGGTTAAGTAAAGCTCTTGAATCCACCTTCAGTATAAATAACAAGTAATAATAAATTGACAAGTAGACTGACCTGTCAGAGCATCAGGATCATAAAATCATAGGAGATAGAACATACCTTTGGGACAAGAAACTGCATGTTTTTCATCTCGGCTCCACCCCAGGATGCCATTTCCATCATGAAGCCCTTGATGCACTTGTAAACCAGCTCTGCTCGCTTCTGGCACCAAGACATTGTCATTTCCTGCATGGCAAAAGTCATTAACTACAGAGTCTATTTTACTTAATTTTTGTAGAACTAGAGACATGTTTTATAAACTTATAATGTTAAAATTGAAGTGAAAGAACTTGACAAAATTCATTCATTCTTTCTTTTAGAAACAACAACAACAAAAAACATCTTTTATTATATATTTTTTTCTCTTTCTTAGAGAGCACAGCCAATGTTAAAATTCAACTAGCAACATAAAATGGTAATGAACACGAGACTGGACAAAGAGACTACACAGAAATATCAGACCAGCAAGGAAGGGATGAAGACAATAAAGCTTCTCTCTAAGTTTATGAAGTTACTCACCTCTGACATGGAATTTGTTAGCAAAAGGGGAATAGTGAGTGTAGTTATGTCTCCCAGACATGCAATCTGGAAACAGAAATATAAAAGGTATAATAACCATACCACTTCTTTGATACTCACTGAAAATAAACATGACAAATATGCAAAATGTGATTCCTTATAAACCTTATATCATACCTTGAGAACATTTCTCAGTCCTAGTATGACAGGATGGCGAGAATTGATGTCCCCAGAACGTAGAGAATCGTCCACAATCATGTGAAACACCACATGCACATCAGCCAAGTTAGAGTGGCGTGTGATGTAGAAATCCCCAGCTTTGAGGTGTTGCGGCACTGGAGGAGGAGGCTTAAATAAAAGAAGAAAAAGAGATGCCAGTGTGTCAAATAAAAAGTCAAACAATGTTGACATTAGATACAAAAGAATGAAATACATCCTTGCAAGTTTTTTTTTCTGTAAAATGTATTTAAATCTAGTCAACTAATTGTAAAAGAAAATGCTAAATGGCCAGCTGAAGAATGAAACCTGGAAATACAAACTACAATACTTCAGATTTAGTGAACTATAGCTTTTATATCAAGAGTGCTGCCTACTAGAACCGCCAGCCCCTTCACCACTGGCAGTGACTGGCAGTATCAATGAATGAATAGAAGTGCCTTTACTTATGGGACTTATTTTTGTGTACATGCGATGCTTAAGGTGCTGCCACTTGATTTGGATCTCTCTTCCATGTAGCAGTAAGTGGGGCTTTTCAATATACAGAACAATGTGTGGAGGAAAGGTTATTCCACCTCTGCGTGTGTGTGTGTGTGTGTGTGTGTGTGTGTGTGTGTGTGTGTGTGTGTGTGTGTGTGTGTGTGTGTGTGTGTGTGTGTGTGTGTGTGTGTGTGTGTGTGAGTGTGTGTGTGTGTGTGTGTGTGTGTGTGTGTGTGTGTGTGTGTGTGAGTGTGTGAGTGTGAGTGTGAGTGTGAGTGTGAGTGTGAGTGTGAGTGTGAGTGTGTGTGTGAGTGTGAGTGTGAGTGGTGTGTGTGTGTGTGTGTGTTTGTGTGTGTGTGTGTGTGTGTGTGTGTGTGTTTTTGTGTGTGTGTGTTTGTGTGTGTGCGCGTGTGTGTGTGTGTGTTTTGTGTGTGTGTGTGCGCCTTTTTGTGTGGTGTGTGTTTTGTGTGTGCGTGTGTTTGTGTGTGTGTGCGCCCTTTTGTGTGTGTGTGTCGTTTTGTGTTGTGTGTGTTTTGTGTGTGTGTGCGCGTGTGTGTTTTGTGTGTGTGTTTTTGTGTGTGTGTGTTTTTGTGTGTGTGTGTTTTGTGTGTGTTGGTGTTTTGTGTGTGTGTGTGTGTGTGTGTGTTGTGTGTGTGTGTGTGTGTTTTGTGTGTGTGTGTGTGTGTGTGTGTGTGTGTGTGTGTGTGTGTGTGTGTGTGTGTGTGTGTGTGTGTGTGTGTGTGTGTGTGTGTGTGTGTGTGTGTGTGTGTGTGTGTGTGTGTGTGTGTGTGTGCGTGTTTTGTGTGTGGCGTGTTTTGTTGTGTGTGTTTTGTGTGTGCGTGTTTTGTGTGTGTGTATGTGCATTCATTCTGTGTGTAGATATATAGATAAATATAGATATAGATAGATAGATTATATATAATATATATATATATATATATGACCCTATATACAGTCACTGTGACATATAATCTTTCACGATAATGATATTAATAATAATACTGACAATATAATTATTACTACTATTAATTGAAACACATACTGCTGCTTCCTCGTCACAATCATACTGTGGAGGAGGATGGTCCCGACGCCACTGAACAACCTGAGGAACCAAATCTCTGGTGGCCTCTAACTGATCCTCCAAGTCAGGGAAGTGCAACTCAGTCGTCCTGCCACAGACTCGGCCAAATTCTGCACAAACATGAAAAATCAAGATAAGAGAAAATATAGTCATTTGTGAATAATTACAATACATCAATTCCTTTATCCTCATGTTTTGCAAAATAGTGTTCAACCTGAAGAGTTATAAATCCCACCCCTCTCCTTTCATCTTTTCTTGTTTAATTTATGGCTAAAAACTTTGGCTATGGTAAATATCATCACACAATGTTTTTTAGTGATCCTAATATTTAAATTTTTACTTTAGTCATACTACCTCTCTTGATGCCTGTGTAGGTGTTGATTCGGTCGTCAACCAAGAGTACAAGACCATTTAGGTTGTGGGAATAGAGACTCATTGATGTCTGGATGCGCTGAGGTGGAATGGCACTGCCCGTAACCAAGAAGGAATTCTCAATTAGATACTCATACTAAACAATAAGAGTAGTAGGTAACCAAGAAAGAATTATTAATTTTGTACTCATGCTAAACAATAAAAAATGTGAATCAAAACTAATGAATAAGTGAAATTCAGTAAATACATCAAAGTAAATTACAAATTAGGGTTCAGACACAAACAAGCTTCACACTGCAGCCTAAACACCTAAGTGCATCACACATGCACTCCAAACTCACCTAGCATCATGAGACTGATATTTGCACAGCTGCAGGACATCTGCTGACAGCAAACGAAGATTGTGCATCTGCTTCATCTGTGCACCAAGGTGTATGGTAAAGCTTTCTTCCTGGGTGGGTTCGGTCGCCTCTGTCATTACTGTGTCTGAGCCCAGTATAAAGTCTCTGTACAAGGAAGAGAAAATGGTTTTATAATTCATGTTTAATTAATATTCAATGTTTGAGATTTCAGAACAATAATATCTAATAATCTGAAACACAACTATCATTCATCAAATTCCAAATGAATGAACACTCAAACAAAAAACATGATCCATTCAAAGGGAAGTATTTCTTTACCTAAATAAACAGAGATATTAACTTATCACCAAATTCTGTCTCTAATATATCTACTACAGTAAAAGCAAGTCAGTACCCAAACACTCTGGCCCAAAAAGGAATAAAACAACTGCAAAAACTGTAAGAAACGTACTTTGGAGTCACTGGTGTTGTGATCTCTCGCCCAGCAAAGGACTCCATTACAAAATTCTTGAAGTCCCTTTCTTGGTCTTCCTTCAGGACTGAGATGGTGGAGTCCCACTGAACCTCCATGAGCTGGGAGTCTTCAAGATGTCGGGCAGCCAGGTTGTTTACGTCATCATCAGTGAAGTGCACTCCTACGGCACTTACAGTCTCACTCATTTCTCTGGTCTGTCTGTTGGATATCAGACTTTTTTTTGTTTTGTCTACTAATGAATATATGTATACACATATATGCATGTTCAAATGCTGATGTACAGTGTACAAATAGACAGACATGCATACACTGTACATCCGTCCACATATGTCAACAGCCTCGCACCCAAATCCAATAAGAATTTTAAAAAACATTAATATTAAATGTCTTCACATGATAAAACATTAAATACAAAGCAATAAAACAGGTTCAATTTGAAAAGGCAAGTGTTATGGTGAAAACCTGTACCTCTCACTGATTTCCTTCAATGCATGTTCCCTCTGAGACACAAGGGAGCTCATGGCATTAGAGAAGGAATGCTCCAAGCCAATCAGATTTGCTGCTGCTGGCGAGTGCACGAGGGAATGGTACATGGTTGCCAACATCTCATTCTCACAGCCCTCATCTTCTTGCCTCTTGTTAACCTGGTGAATTAATGGATTATCAAAACCACCTCTCAGAAAATAAGAATGAAAAAGGTACTTGCATAATAGCTTCCACTATTTATATCATGTGGATATTATCAATAAATATATCAAACAAAATTATACGTAATAAATCTTTAGAGCACTGTGTAATACCTGTGCATATTTATTAGCCCAAGCAGCAGCCACATCCTTAATGTTGATTTTTCCCTCTTGGAGTGATTGTATAACACGCTTATCTTGCTGTCTGTAGTGCTCCTCTGTTTTGTCCTGGATGGCAATTTTCAGCTTCTCACTTAGTTCTGTTGGGTGTTATTACATTGTCAGTAAATAATATAGTGACTTGTAATGATGTGAAATTGACATCTCATGAAATACTGGTAATCAGATATGACATATCTTTTCTTAATCTTAATCATGAGATTATGTACACAGGTCAAGATCTATATGACCGCGTAATCATTGAAGAAAAGAGTGACATTACCATTGTGTAAATAGATAGGAAGGTTGTGGTGCTGAATGAGACGGTGAGCCAATTCAACAGGGCACACACTTGTGGGTATTGACACAGGGACGCGCACAGTTAGAACCCGAGGCTCTGTTCCTATGGATACCTCACATATACAATCCTCATTACGTGTGGCAGCCACCATCTTGGATTATCTGAAAAGTATAGCACATTCCTCAAATGTACTAAAATTCTAGCTACATTTACTATTAAACCACAAGGTGTTATCCCCACGGTCCTGCCCTATACATCTCATGCTTTCTCTCCCATGTCAAGATACTCAAGGGAAATCAAAGTTTGGCCACATAAAAATTGCATTCCACTAGAATTACATCTGGGTAACTTTTCAGATAATATTATTTGTTGTAAGTCTATGGACTGTATTCTATCGAAATCTATTTGAACCATGACATATAAAAAAAAGGAATATCTTCTTTTTTTCTTTTACACAGTTAGCCTTTTGATGCTTTTATTCCCTGGATCTTGTGTCTTGAAAACTTCTTTGTCCTGAGAGACTGATTGTACAGAATGTTATAAACGCCAACCCCCCGTCGACACGAGAGGCGGAGGCTGTCAAGGATCAGCTGATTCTTGTAAACAAACTCAGGATCACGACGCGACCACGAACACTTCTAAATTTTTGTGAAGTATTTTTCTTGCCTTTATTCAGGGGTGATATGTAAGTTATATAATTGTTAGAATGTATACAAAATTATTTTCTTTAGAAAATATTACTTTTGAGGGAGTTTTGATAAATAGATGAGTATGAATAGAGAAAAATAATGTTCCCGAAAGAGTGTTGACCGTCATGGCGGAGTGTGCGAGTGAGCCGAAACCCGGAGTTCCTCACACCAAACTAGCTTCTTCAGATGTCGTGGGGGTCGAGCTGAAGGATGACACTCCGGGGGTCAGCGGGGAGGTCATGCTGGTCAACACAGACAGCTTCGAGGAGTGCAACCATGACCTGGACACGCAGTTCAGCGGCGGGGAGGACGCCCCCGACTCTCCCATTAGGAAGGTGCAGGAGGAGCAGGTGAGAGGGGGGAAATATGCCCTTTTCTTTTAATTGTCTTACCTGTTTGAGGTCCGATATTGGGTTAAGGTTAATGTCATTTGTTGCCTTTATTTTGGGCGTGTCTGCAAGGGGTCATGTTGTTGTTGGAGATAAGGTAATAGACTTTACCTTCCTTGGACTGTGAAGGTATTTTGGAATTCTTGTTTTCTCTGCATTTTGATCACCGTAAGGTATTTAGCGAATGTCCATCAGTATTCAAGTATGTAAAGTGTTTTGATAGCTCACCTGACCACTTTAAGGCTATGCAATTTTGTTTATTTATTTTTATTTTATTCTCTACTTGATATTACTAAACTTTATTGTACTTCTGTTTTCAGTTTTGATTAGTTTGGTAGAAAGATGACCCATAAGATTTCCTATGAAAAATGTGAATTTGACAGTCAGATATGCGCTATTTTTTCCAATGGCAAATTAGGTGTCGCGCAAAACCAAATACTTTACTCGTGGTTGGATGCGAGACAGGCCTTAAAGCTCCGCCCACTCATGTGATGTAATGGGAATGACCCAGACTGTAGAGTTTGGTCTGCATACAAAAGTTATTTGGTCAGATTCTGTCTGCACAAATGTAGTTCTCAGGTAACTTTCCGTGCACGCTTAGTTGTTTTTTAAGTCATCTTCCGCGCATAACAATCTTTTGTCTTTTCTGTGCTCTTGTTTCATCTTCCATCCACAGATTAGCTCTGCACAGATAAACAGGTTTCATATAATCACCCTATTCATTCGTTCAAATTTAAAATGTGAAAGTGAAAGTGAACGCCAATGCGCCAATCAAAGATCCATACAATTCTACTACTCTGGGGATCTCCTACAAAGCATTACATGACTTCCACAAAGGCTCAATTCTGTTAACCATTGAGTGCTAATATATTATTATTGATAACCCCTGTTACAATATTAACCCTATCTTCATGATAGGTATTCAAAAACGAATTGTCAAATTTCCACGCAAATGTTTTTTATACTGTTACACCATATTTTGGAATATGATATTCTAGATGGCTTTTGACACCTTATTTTGGGTTATACAGGGATATTGAAGACCAATTCCTGTTGCGTGAAAGCCTTAAGTGTTGGCAGTGGTTTGCTCAATCTTACTGATACATTCAAGCATCATCTGTTGTTCTGTTGGTTGTTGTTTATGTATGCGGATAGGTGAAGGCTACGGCAAACTCCTGATACTACACCACAATCACTTTAAACATGATTATAAGCCGTCTATCACAGCTAACTTTAACATTCCATTGGTAATGGTTAAAACATATGCAATAGGAACCTCTGTGAGAGAGAAGTCTTTAGCAAACCATGTCCGGTTAATTGATAAGATGTACCAGCGAGTTTTTGATAGTGCATAATATCACAAACAAGGTAGACAATATGCGAAATAAGTAAGTCAACTGATTCAAAGACTTATTTCATCTTTGACATTTCTGTTGCAGATTGCAAATTGAGAAAATATCAAATGTTATAACAAAAATACTCACTAGTGGCAGTGGCTGTTTAATTCCTCAAGCAAATCTCTACTATATATATTTTGGCAAGATAGAGGTTAGATTGATTCCTTTTATTTCAACAAGTTAACCCAGTGCCAACGGGTAAAAATGTTTGGCAAGTGGACGTAATAACGAGATTGTTGACGCGCATCAACTGTTTCCCCTGTTTGCACCCAGCACATTCGGTAGTTTGCGAGCAACATTTGGCACCTAAAAAAATTATTTTGCTATAATTTATTAAAATGTTATAATTTTGAAGGTTTACCTTCATTTTAGATGCCTAAAATCTTTACCATATAAATGAAGCTGCTACTATCGGAGAAAAACAGACTCCATCCGACGTGCCAGTGGCACGGGAATGGGCATGATACGATGCCATCTGTGTTTCGGTCCACAACATCCATCCATGGCATGTACGTACATGCCATCCATCGACTAGGGGTTAACAGAGAGGTCTTAAGAGTTCTCGTATTTGTAGATACATTTTTATAAGTATTATGGGGCATTCCTTTTAGTATCTGTAAATTTGAGGGCTCAGATTATTGTAACATGTGATCAGTTGTTATTTATAATACTAAATGTCTTTATTTACAAATTTTGCACGAGATCATCTTTGGATTGTGTGCACTGTTTGCCTCAGATATAGATACATTGAAGAAATGCCATTTTGTGAAAATTTATTTGGGCAGTGCAGTTTTTATTTTCCTTATATATGAATAAGCTATGTTACAAAATTTAGATATTTGCAGTACTAGATACTCATGTTGAAAGTATATGTATATACTGAACTGTTATATACTTCATGTGGAAATAGATCTGCTGATAGATAATTTTCTTTGATATTTTGGATAATTTGTTGAAATATATTGAAAACTTGTACTGATATTTATGTATGTTGCATACACAGAGCAACTATATCTATGGCACTGGTTTCATGCTCTCAACCTTCTTGACAATCATACATTTTTTAGTGCATAGAGGTAGGGTCAGTGTAGACTGTTTGTTTCATGTTCTGAATTTATTTATTTGGCAGAATAACTTTTTTCTTTTTTCTTTTTTTTTTTTCTTCTTTTTTTTTTTTTTTTTCTTTTTTTTTCATTTACATATTTCTTATGGTAGAAATTTATTTGATGCTACAGCATTTATATGTACATTTTTTCACCCAAAGTAAGTAACCAATTGATCCATGCTGAAGAAAAATAAAGAGTTGGAGTTGATAAAGTGACTAATGAAGGCATTGGTGGCATCAAGGGAATTTTGTAGCTTTGGACTCAAAACCACAGAAAGAAACTTTAAATTATCATTAGCATTTAGGCTAAAATTATTGTAAAACTTTCTCTTTTTTTTTCTTGTGGAACATTTCGCTTGAAGGTTGAAGTAAATATCTATTTTTAATGAAAGGTGAATAGAAGATTGGCATATGATGTGACAATATTGATGGGCATTTCAAATTTGAATATAGTCTAGCTCAGTAGGGGTATGTAGCCCTACTGATAATAGGATAATACCTATTTTCAATTCATGAATGGAGCTACAGCAAACCCTTTTGAATTTATGGTGCCATGGCATTTGTTCCTTTTTCCACCATGCATACAATTGTACATGCAAACGTGCTTAAACACATGCACAGGCATGCATGTTTATACACACACCACTTACACCCATACCCACACATACACACAAACAAACAAACAAATACGAGTGCATACGCACACACACACACACACACACACACCACACACAACACACACACACACACACACACACACACACACACACACACACACACACACACACACACACACACACACACACACACACACACACACACACACACACACACACACACACACACACACACACTACACACACACACACACACACACACACACACACACACACACACACACACACAACACACACACACACACACACACACACACACACACACACACACACACACACACACACACACACACACACACACACACACACACACACACACACACACACACACACACACACACACACACACACACACACACACACACACACACACACACACAACACAACACACACACTTACACAGAGACACACACACACACACTTTACACACACACACACACACACTTACACAGAGACACACACACACACACACTTACACACACACACACACACACACACACACACACACACACACACACACACACCACACACACACACACACACACACACACACACACACACACACACACACACACACACACACACACACAACACAGACACACACACATACACATGACCACACACACACGCTTACACACAGACACTTACACACACACACACTTAACACACACACACACACACACACCTTACACACAGACACACACACAACACAGACACACACACTTAACACAGACACACACACAGAGACACACACACACACACAGAGACACTCACACACACAGAGACACACACACACACACACACACACACACACACACACACACACACACACACACACACACACACAACACACACACACTTACACAGAGGACACACACACACACACTTACACAGAGACACACACACACACACTTACACACACAGAGACACACACACACAGACACACACACACACACACACACCACACACACACACACACACACACACACACACACACACACACACACACACACACACACACACTTACACACAGACACACACACACTTACACATAGACACACACACACGCTTACACACAGACACTTACACACAGACACACACACTTACACCATAGACACAGACACACACGCACACACACACACACACACAACACACACACACACACAACACACACACACACACACACACACACACACACACACACAACACACACACACTTACACATAGACACACACACACGCTTACACACAGACTTACACACAGACACACACACTTACACATAGACACACACTTACACACAGACACACACACTTACACACAGACACACACACTTACACACAGATGCACACACACAGAGACACACACACACACACAGGACACACACTCAACACACACAACACACACATGCACATGCACACACATACACATGCCACACACATACACATGCACACACATACACATACACATACACCCACATACACACATACACATACACATACACACACACACACACACACACACACACACACACACACACACACACACACACACACACACACACCACAACACACACACACACACACACACACACACACACACACACACACCACAACACACACACACACACACACACACACACACACCACACACACACACACACACACACACACACACACACCACACACACACACACACACCACACACACACACACACACACACACACACACACACACACAACACACACACACACACACACCACACACACACACACACACATGCACATGCACAACACACAACACACACCACACACACACACACACACACACACACCACACACACACCCACACACACACGCACATATGTATGCACTCACACGTGTATGCACATTCATAATCCAGCTAATATGTCCAATAATAAGCAAAGATTTATGCAAGGTCATTCCCACTCCCCGGACAATCCTACAACACAGCAATGTAGACAAGAAATTCAAAATTATTGCCGTTGTTGCAGGAGAGTGAGCTTGTTGGGGCATGGCAGTTTGCAAATGACAGAAGAAGAAGAGAAGACCCCCTCAGAGGACACCACCACCACAGAAACGGAGCCGGGGGACGATGACGATGGTGAAGACTCCCAGGATGAGGAGTATCTGGAGAGCCTGGAGTGGATTCAGCAGGAGAAGCATGTGTTCATTCTGAGCGAGTCAGGGAAACCTATATACACAAGGCAAGTATTCAGTCTCTGTCTGTAGAAGAATAAAGTTGGGTTGACCTCCTCAGAGATATTGTCATGAATTCAGTGATACCCTATCTGTTTTGGGGCAAGATGTTTGTGTGACATGCGCCTTGGGGATCGAGTCTGAGTGTAATTGCATCATCTTGGCATAGGTATCCTTCCTTAGTGTTCACAGAGAATGCTTTTATAATATGTGTCTTTGATTGCAGACATGGAAAGGAAGACAGACTTGTGACCCTATTCGGCCTTATGCAGGCGCTGGTGTCATTTGTAGCAGATTGCGATGATGTTATAAGATGCATCATATCTGGCAACCACAAATTTGTATTTCTCGTAAAGTCACCTTTGATCCTAGTTGCTGTGTCACACACTGTTGCCAGTGTTCCACAGCTTATTATGCAGCTTACGTAAGTTTTTATTTTGTATTTTTGTAAGCAGCATATAATTTTTCATTTTTATGTTATCTTCAGTGCAATGATTCTTTTATTATATACTTTTAGGATGCTTTACTTTTTATGTATACTACTTACTCTTTTTATATGAGATAGTGTGTGACTGTGTCTTTCCCAGCTATGTTCACAACCAGATTGTCAGCGTCCTCACTGGATCTGCCCTCACTAGAATGTTTGAAAAACGACGCAACTACGATTTCCGTCATTTACTGGGAGGAACGGAACGGTTGTTGGACAACCTCCTGAATCTCCTGGACTGCCATCCTTCCTTCCTCTTGGGAGCCGTTCAGAGTTTACCTCTTGCCACATCCGTCAGGGACACAATCACTCAGACTATCATTCAGTATTGTTCAAAGATTAAGGTACCAAGTTCCATGGTTATTCACCCATTGGCACTGGGCTCCCACAGTGTCTAATGTGATGGTATTTTATTGATTTTGTTTACACAAATGAGGCAAGAGTTTTAAAATCCTCCCGGCTTCAGAAGTGCATAGTCACCAAGGAGTGGGTTACTAGGCTTGTCTGTTCTAACCATTTACTTTATTGAATTTGTGAAAAAAAGATGTTGCTGTAGTTATCATTACTGATATTATTATTAATGTATGCTGAATGTATTGGGGAAAAAATATTTCAGTTACTTTATTTATTGTCACTTTTACACAATATTTCTGTATTCTATCATTAATATTTTTTTTTTATGTCAATGACTCGTAAGCCCAAAAAACAAATCTCTCTCTCCTCCAACCGCAAGACCTCGAACAATAAGCATCCAAAAACCCCCACACTATGATTATTACCACCAGACTCTCGACTCCTATCCTCCACAGAGCGCGCTGTCTGCGATTCACCACCATCACGCCTCATGAGTCGCTCGTCACTATCCGCGGTGCCTACAAATCACACTTCTCGACCCATCACGCTCTACATGCTAAACACCAACGCAGACTCACCCATACGGCATCCATTCATCGCACCTCCTCGCAACCCTCCACTCCCAGACCCTCTAGCCCCGACGCTGTCCACATCTTCATAACACATACAACTCTCTATACCATAGCCTACCGCCGCCATATCACCTCACTGTCTACACACATCCCCCGCGAGAAACCACCTCCTCGCTGACGATTCCATCCATAATATGCTCAGACATACATCACTGCTGCTTCTAAGATATCAGATTACTTCTCTCCACTCTAACAGACATCTCTATCACCCATCCCTCATGCACTAGCGAAGCCCCTCTACCTCGTCACAGCCTCTCACATACACAGCTCACCTCCCCTCGACTCCACTCTATCGTACACGCCCTCCCTGCCATCCCATCGTACTGCATTACCCACTACTCCGATCGCCGACATTCCTTATCGAACGCTAGCCACAACTCGCTTCTGCACATCCTCTCTACCCCAACACCCCCCCGCTGTCATTACGACCACCACACCGCACCGCCGCCTTATGACGCTACAGCGGTATATCCTGCGCATCAACCCATCCACACGCCTCCTAACTCCCTCGCCCGCATCGACCTACACCGCCGTTCGCTCACGCCCTGACTACATACTACTCCCACTACCTACCTCGCACACAACATACACCAACCATATCACTCTAACCGCACGACACCACCATACTCACGTGCCACTCATCCTACAATCACTCCCTCCACACGCAAACGCCATCATAGCCCTCATCCAATTCCTACTTACAACCAGCCTACCACTAACAGTACACACTCTACAACATCCCTAATACTACACATATCTCACTACTCCGCACCTACCGTACACCACCCCTGACACTCTGCGCTACGCCGATCACCACCACAGCGCGCCTACGCACGCCTACACGCATATCTCATACGTCACACGCTCACGCCATCGACGCTCCAGTCCCTGCTCGACTCAAATGACGATCACGCTCGCTATCACTCACTCCAGCACCCCTCGCTACACGCTGCTCCCTGCGTCACCAACACCGTAGCGCCATCTACTCCACACCTCATCATACACATCGCACCGCAACATCTCACACATATACCTGCACCCATATCAGCAGCACTACAGACTCACACTCCACGACATCAACCCACGCTACAACCATCACTACTCTAGACGTCACACACGCCGCTCACCCTATCCAACAAAATATACATTATTTGCTGCTACGTCACCTCCACGCCATGCACTCAAATCATTATGCATGAACTTATCTCCTCTCCTCCTTCACTACCCTCCCTCCTATCCACCTCGTTTCTCCTGCCACATATCTGATCTTTCTCGACAAATCTCAAATCGACATCTCACCCTCTGTACAAGCCTATACTAAACTCTCTAAATCGACCAACCAAACACATCGCAACTCCCACCTATCACCCTATTCTTCGTTCAACTACATCAGCTGCCTACTCTACGCCCACCCTCTATCAAGCGACTACACCTATAACTTCTACATCATCTGCTAACAATCACATCCACACCATCCATACACACCTCTATACACTTTCAAGTCCATTTCAACAGTCTACACACTCTTGTCTCTACCTCTCCTTCTTCCCCTCCTCAATCTCGTCCATCCATCTCTCGCCGTCCGACACCCACATATCTAGCTTTTTACCATCCCGCCTCTCCCCATCACTGATTTAGCTCTCCATAGGTGACCATTTCATACACATACACACATTTCATCACGCGAGCCGCACTCTACTACACTCCACTCCATGCAACTACATTCGTGACTGCCAAGATCGATCCCCTGCACACATTTCTATAGTATACCATTTCGCACGTCACCACCTCCTCCGCTATCTCCTTTCTACCACATATCACTCACTCACCCTAAATCTCACCAATCACATGACACGTACACCTATGCCGCACCTCTCACATATCTCTCTCTAGAGCCTATCCCCGACAATACCTCTCGTAATTAATCAATCTCTCCATCACTACATCTCGCTGCATCGCACAAACTACTCATATACTCTACCCTATCTCATCAATTTTACACATCCTATACCTCTCTACCTCCCCCTCTAACCCACTCATCGATATATTCCTGCTCCTCCGCAACTCGTGCCTCTCCGTTCACACTCCCATCTCGCACCCTCAACTCGACGTCACACACCCTCCGGCCTCTCTCGTGTCTCATCTATCATACGCATCCATCATCTATGACTGATCCAGTACCACCGTAATCTCAGAGCGTGTATCCAATCCACGAGAACTCTACACCAGCTTACTATGCTAACGCAGTCCAACAACACATATATAATCAATAGTAACCAAGAGTAATCGCACCTACTCTA